ATTCTACAGGTAAAATTATTTAAGTAAATGGAGCTAATCATTTTATTATTCATAACTTTTATTTCGCTGACTAAACAACATTACAATTTCTATATAATCATATAAAAAATAACATCGTAAACATAAAAATCTTGAAAAAAACATTTATATATAAAAATGCTTTTTTCAAGAAAAACATTTATATATAATAAAAAAACATATATATATATATATATATATATATATATATATATATATATATATATATATATATATATATATATATATATATATATATATATATATATATATATATATATATATACTGCTATTTTTTTTTTTTTTTTTTTTTTTTTTTTTATAATTTAGCCGTACAAATATTTACAAGTTCCGTAATTTAAAATATTTAAAAATGGCAAGGACGAGAAGAAGACGGGGTTGTCTTATCACCAAGTCCCTTGTTTGTCTAGACATTTATATAAATACATGGTAACTAAAATGAAAATTAAAAAATTAAGAAAAAAGCAAAATATTACAAAGAAGTTTATATAAAATGCCAAATAGTTTAATAGTTTAAAGTTTTGAAAGATATTTTTTCGATTTTATTTTTTGAAAGAAAAATTTAAAAGTTCATTCAGAAAAACAAAAATATCAAAAAACTAAAAAACATGAAAAAAGTAAACGTAAAATTTAATTTACAATCTGTTCTTATAAAGTGTAATATATTAATTCCTCAAAAACAAATTACAAAATATTAATATAAAAAAATTAAAACTCAAAAAAGATTACTTTTTTTATTTTTCCTCTCTCTCTCTTATTTAAGAAAACTAATAAATTTATTTAAACTAATGAAATCTAAAAAAGCTAAAAATCTTTATAAGTACTTTTTTTATAATATAACAGACTGTAATACCTATATAAAATTAAAGAATTTAGACCTTCCAGACAAATAAAGTATGCATTAGTAGATAGTTTTAAAATATAATATTTTTATAGATAGATTTAAAAATAATTATTGTTTGTTCATTATTTAAAAGTAATAGTTTTAGTTTTTGTTTAAACTGATCAAGAGTTTTAAGTGTTTTAATATCATTACTGATTATCTTATTCCATGCATTAGGTCCTCTAACAGTTATTGAAAACTTGGTGGAGTCGTATATAGTTTTGGGTTGAACAAAGTTGTTGTTAGAATATTTAGTTACGTATTTGTGTTGAATTTTATTAAATAATGGTTTGAAGATATTTGGTATTGAATTGTTATTAATTTTATCCATAAAAATCAGAAGATGATATATATTTATTTGGTACACATTTAGTATTTTTAGATTGTAAAACAATGGTCTTGAATGTGAGAGGCGGTGTGCATTTGATAATAATCTAATTGCATGTTTTTGTTTGCTAAATAGCTTTTTTATCTTTGTTTTATTGGTGCTACACCAAGCAATGTTTGCATAATTAAGATAAGAATGTATAAATGAGTAATATATGTATTTCAAGCAGGATTGATCTAAGAATGGTTTTGCTTTATAGAGTAATCCAATATTTTTAGAAATTTTATTTTCAATCATGTTTATGTGGTCTTTCCAATTTATGTTTTCATCTAGAATTACACCTAAAAATTTCATCGAACATTCTCTTTTTACGATGTAATCTCCAATAATAAGTTTTGGAAGTTCAAGAGGAATTTTTTCTTTTTTATGGAGGCGATGAAAAATAGTATATTTAGTTTTAGTTAAATTAATTGAAAGTTTGTTCATATTTAACCATTCGGTTAGTTTTAGGAGTTCAATGTTGACCGTTTTAAATAATGCTGTTATATCACTATGAGAATAAAATAAATTTGTGTCATCAGCAAATAAGATAGAATCTAGAATATTAGAGGCTTTGCTTAAATCATTAATATAAATTAAAAATAAGAGTGGTCCTAATATAGATCCTTGAGGAACGCCGCAAGTAATTGTCATATTGTTAGTTTTTTTATTGCCGAATGAAGTATACTGTTTTCTATTAGATAAGTAGCTTTTAAACCAAGCTATGTTAATATTTTTGATACCGTAGTTCTCTAATTTTTTAATTAAAATACTATGATCAACTGTGTCGAACGCCTTACTTAGATCTATGAAAACACCTAAAGTGAACTTGTTTTTATCAAAAGCTTGAAAAATAATCTGAACAAGATGAAGAATTGCATGATCAGTAGAGTGTCCTGTTTTGAAGCCAAATTGTTTGTTATATAGAATATTATTTTTTTCTAAATATGAATATAATTTGTTATACATAATGCGTTCTAGTATTTTTGAGAAGCAAGGAAGAATGGAAATAGGTCTATAATTAGAAATATTAGTATTATCTCCAGATTTAAAAACTGGTATTACCCTTGCAATTTTAAGTTTTTTTGGAAAGATTCCTTGTTTAAACGAAAGATTAAATATATGCAAAAGGATTTTTTTAATATAGAAGATACATTTAATTATGACATTACTGCTAATGTTATCAACTCCTTGTGATTTGTTTAATTTTAATGAAAGAACAGCATCTAATAACTTTTTTTCGGTTAACTCCGCATTTTCCATTATTGATTTGCTAGGAGTCAAGTATTTCTCCTTGTTAAAATCACTGTGTTTTAGTTTGGATGCTAAATTTAGACCTGCGTTGACAAATACGTCATTAAACGTTTTAGCAATTAGAGATTCTTTTGTAATATCTTGATGATTGTAATTGAGCTTTTTTGGAAGACCATTTAACATAATTGTTTTTTTTCCAATTACTTCTTTAATGACTTGCCACGTTTTTTGAGTATCACCTTTGAATTTTATTATTTTATTTGAGTAGTATAACTTTTTTGAAAGTTTTATAATTGATTCAAAGTGACTTTTATATTTTTTATACCTTAGTTCATTTACATAGGTTCTTTTTTTCAGAAATACTTCATACAAACGTTATTTTTTTTTAGACGATTTTATTATTCCTGGTGTAATCCAGGGGTTTATAAATGTTTTAGTTTTAATAATTTTTGTTACCACCGGGAAAGCTTTATCATAATGATCTTTGATTTTATATATATATATATAATCATATATTTTATATATATATATAATCAGCTATAATCAGTCAGGGACTCAAAGTAGGTAAGGATGATGCGTTAATCATCACAACCTTTTCGTGGAGCCCTTTTAGTCACTCTGTAAAAAAAAACCTTTTTGAAATAAAATAAAAATTTAATAAAACAAAGCTCATATTTTTTTTTTAGTGTAAAAAATTGAAAACAAAAAATATAAAAACAAGTGATAAAAAAAAAAGAAGAAAAAAATTTCAAAATCCGAAAATAAATACAGTAAACCGTAATATATGCCATGAATTAAGAAAATGCATTTTAGTTTGCCTCTAGGGGTGCAAAATTCGACAAAATACCAAACGATTTAAATGTCTATAATTTTCTGAGTTTCTTTGAGTTAATTAATTAGTACTTTTCAGTCTGTTTAAAGTTTTTTTTTTACCCCAATTGTAAAATTGTATAAACTAACATCGCTATACTAAACATGATACTAATTTTAAAAAACCTATTCTTCCGATACATAATACTTGCAAAATATTTATGATAAATTGTACATGCAAAAATATTATTTTATCAATACAATTTTCTCCTAACTTGTAATGTAAGCGTGGTCCAGGGGATTCTGCTTCCGGTTAGTTAACCGAGGGATCTGGGTTCGCCTAACAGTATTGAATTTTTTTTTTCCTTTAGTTAGTGCATAAAGATTGTTTTTTTTTTGTTGCTTCACACTATTGTGCACCGACTAAATTAAGTTATGTACTTGAACCATATAAAGTCTAAGCGCAGAACGTGCACTGCACATACAGCCGTAACAGTCCGTTAACAGACTGTAACTACCCCTTTAACGGAGTTAACACATCGACTAAGTAAGATTTAAGCATAGTTACAATCAATATGTAGGTACATCAAATCAGGGTATATACAAGATACATCAACTAAGCTTTTTGGCTTTTCTAATTAAAAGAAAGTCTTCTCTAAAAAAATAAAAATGTTGCGTCACAAAATGGAGATCCCTCCTCCCCCTCGTAACAAACCGTCACCCCTCCCCCTAAGCGTGACGAAATTTATTGACGACCCCAAACTTGACTGATAATTGTACTGTATTTATTGACGACCCCAAACTAGATGATAACTGTACCTGGTATTTAAACGCAGATTTTATTTTTCAGAAAATGATACCAAGAAAATATCTAAAAAAACGCTTGGTAGTTGATTGTTATTCTTATACATAATAAGGGTGCTTCTAAAGAAAACTTTTTTAAAAAATATCTGCTGACTACTACCTAAATGCGTTCTAAATAATAATACTGGATTTAAAATTTTTTTGAAGAAGAAACATTTTTAGATGCGGACCCTTAAGCATTAAACAGGTCCCTAAACTATCAAAAAATGTTTTTCAAAAGCATGTCATGTTGGGACTAAAATGAAGCAAAATTATAAAAATTTTAAAAAATATGAACCATTTTATATATAAATTATTATTTTAGATTTTAGTGAACAGAAAATTACATTTTTTAACTATAAGTGAAAAAAATTATAATCAAAATTATTTGATGATAATTTTTCTCTCTCAATGTTTTTATAAAATGATTACACATTGTGTGTGTGCACACAGTTATCTCTCTCTCTCATATATATATATATATATATATATATATATATATATATATATATATATATATATATATATATATATATATATATATATATATATATATATATATATATATATATATATATATATATATATATATACACATATATATATGCATATATATATATATATATATATATATTTTTTTTTTATTATCATCGGAATAATATATGATATTGATTAGAACTTGGAACTCACTAGAGTGAAAAACTGTTTATTATAATTCAAACTATTTATTTCAAAAAAGTATACAAAATTGTTATTTTATAAAAATTATTTTAAACATTAAGTTTAATCAATAAATCTTCTGAATGAAAGTATAAAAATGAATTATTCTTCTTTTATAATATATTACATACTCGACTTCAAATTATAATTCTAAATTACAAATAACATATTCTAACATTTTTATTAACAGAAAGCATCTGCAACATTCAAAGCAGTAAAACAAAAAAGAAAGCATCTGCAACATTCAAAGCAGTTAAACATTATAAGCAAATGACAAACAAGCACCCGCAGTAAGTCCTGCTGTCAAAAAAAAGGACATCATTGTCCCAGCTGTTTCTGAATATTCAGCAGATACTAGCTTAGGTCCGAACATCATACACAGGCTTCCCAGGTATCCATTTGATAAAGCAAATAAAGAATTTATTATAATAGGCCAATAGTCATTTTTAAAAATATACGTTAAAGGACTACCATTTTCGAAGTGACACATCAAAAATAATGGAATAAACAATATACGAGAGAAACATAATATGGGAAGCCAGGGTCCTCTCTCAGCCACAATTTGATATGAACCAGCTGCAATGCGACCTGCTAAATCACCACAATTAAAAATAAAAAAGCAAACAAATGTTGAAAACAAATCATTTGTGAATCTTGAAGTCTTTGATTTATCTACAGATACAATTCTTGAGACAACAGCAGGGAATAAAGATAGAGTTACACAAAACACAACACTTACGGAAATAGCCAAAGGCAATATTTGTTTGAAAATAATCCAGTATGGTATCTCATTTATACCATGTGATGTACCATTTATACTATATTCACTTGCGATTTCGTTTTTTACCCTTAAATTTGAACAGCTTAAATGAAACTTCATTTTCGGAAGCTTAAATAAAACAGAATATGTAACTGCTGTGATCAAAATGACAACAGAAGCAGTAACAAAATACCCTAATGCACTTGAAGTCTTATCAACAGGATTTGGGTTAGCCAACTTGAATACTAGATCTGTTGTTGCTGCAAAAATACCAGCAACACCTTGACCAGTCATAATTGCTTGCGTGTATTTAAAACCAGTTAGCCCTGCAAGTCCAAACAGAGTTCCTTGATAAATTCCAGCAGCTAAATTCATGACAACTACACAAATGATAGTAACTGCAAAAAAGCTTTCAGTCCACTTGGTTGTATTTATTTTAACAAGAATAGTTGTTATAAGAAACATTGAAAACATGACTGACAAACATGAAGATATTCGACAAGTGCGAGAGAGTCTTCTAGTCAAAAATATATTGAAAGTCAAACTAATTAAGGATGGCAACATTGATCCGAGGGCAAATGCTTTTTCGAAATTTCTTTTAATAGAATCATTATCATCAAATTTATAGTTAAAATATTCAGTGGCTGTAATAAAAAAGTTCCAGGGTAAAAGCATTCCAATGCCCTGAATAACAAATATTATGTAAATAAAAGAAAATCGATCTGGAGGTTCGACTTCTATAGTGTCTTTCTGTAATATTGGACTCAAGTCATCATCTTTGGTTTCGTTATAAGATTCATCTTCATATCCACTTCTTTCAAATGCCATTTTTCCTCTTACTTAGCAGATAAAGAAAGCAAATCTCATTGCGTACTTGATCGCCAACTTATCAAGACAAGGCGTACGACTCGCGCATTTTTTTTGTCTTAGTTTTGGTCAATGGGTAATGTATATTGTAGTTAAATTTGTAAACAATAACTTTTCTATTAACTTAATTTTTTATATAATAGAAATATTTAATTATATATAGTAATAATTAAAACGATTACAACCTTTTTAAAAGCGTCTCTAGGAGAATGCGCTTAGGGGCGATTCTACGAATAAAATGAGGATAACCCTATAAAAAGTACCGACTGACTTCTTAAAAAAATAAAAAAATAAAAAAATCTTCAAAACTAAAATTTACACGAATTGTGTTAAATACCATAATAGCCGACTAAGTTCGTAAAAATACCGACTATAACTTAAAAACCTTCTTTGGGGGTGGGGGATGAGGGTGGGTGGGTGGTGGAACATCCTTTCCCACTTCTTAAATCGTCTCTGTATGCGCTAAAAATTTGATTTTTTCAAAACTCAAAACCTGATTTTTATTTATATGAAAGAGCGTCAAACGTATGCATATATAAACGTAAAGCGTATAATAGTAAATATAAAACTTCCCAGGAGTCCGTATTTAAGAAAAAGCAAAAACTGATTTTGATTTATATGAAAGATAGCCAGCCTTTAAAAGCAGAGAAAAAAATGATTTCTACAATATAGCAAACTCTTAGCAAAAGTTTCTAATGGCATAGCAGCGTTATATTCTAAACTTAAATAATTTTACATATATATGGTTTTAGGGTAAAAATTTCTCAAAAAACACAATAAATCACAATCTGCACCCTATATCACCAAAATTTTTGAAACTTGGCACAAATGTTTATAGACATATGTTAGGAAAGATTGTAATTTTTTTTCATAAAATTCCGTACTGTTTATAATTTACAGCAATTTGAAGTTTCTTTGATTTTGACTAAAAACTGAGGGTTGGTTCACAAAACATAATATTTAAAAAAAGAATGGATAAGACATAATAGACTCATAAATATAAAAATCTCTACTTCCTTAGGAAAATAATTTTTTTAAGTCCTTTTTGGCTAAATAGTAGCAAAGTCCTGTTTTTGTTATCGGTACCTCAACTTTGTAAATAATGTGGACATCAGGAATCCAGCATTGGCTTTTCTTTGGTGGCCATTTAAACAACCGTGCAAGACCATTAGGACACATAAAGTTTACAAGCACATCTTTTTCTTCTAAATTAATATCTTCAATGACTCCTATCCACCACTTTTGCTCATAGGAAACACAGGCACAATCACCTGGTACTAGGTTTACAGTTGTTATCTGGATATTTCCAAAGTCACGAATTAAAGCAAATTCTTCATCAACATACCTAAACAAATTAGTAACATGCAATTATTCCGTTTTACTTATCAAACATGTTTTATTAAATGCATAGATAGCAAATGCAGAGGAAAAAAAATATTTTTGATAATGATTCTGCAAAAATCTAATATCTATTTGAGTTTATCAATAAAAGTTATGCGTGTATTTTAAAATATGGTAAAAGGTATAATAATAAAATAATAATTTACCTTTTGATGGCCAAGTGGTACAAACTGATGGTAACTACGTGTTCCAGGTATTGTATTAGCAGTTTCCAATCGTTCTTTAAGAGCGGTTCTCACCAAAGTTAAATCTTCTGATGAAATATATATGAAATTTATGCCTTCAATGCTTTCATTGCAATATTTATACATTGTTTGTGGAGATAAAATATGATTATCCATATCTCTTTGCAAACTTGCTAGTTGCCAGACGTTTGACTGTACCACCTATCCCATCACAAGGTTGCTTACCGTGACTAGTTGCAAAAAAGTTCCATTTAGCAGTAAAACAAAAATCTTCACAATGGAAACAAAGGTTTAACATATTTTTGAAATTCTTATATTGACCTGCACACCCATCTGAAAAGTATTCAATATATTTTATTCGAGGCAAATTTGTTTTTATATCATTGCAAACAACCTCAATAATTTTATAAACCATGTTCACATCATGGATTATATCATCCGAAATAATACAATAGGATTTGTGCTTGAGAATGCCTTCTTTTTTGAAATAAATAATCACTGGATGAATTATACAGTGTAAATTTGTCCAATGAAAGCTTTGCACTTCATCCTGAACTACAAATTTATAGTTTTCTGAAAAATCACCCAGAAATAATGCTGTTACCTCATTCATATCTTCCTTTCTTGATCTCAGGTATAATTCTTGACTCTTTGCTAAATACGATTGTGGTGCAAGTTTTTCCAGTTTTCTACATACTAGTTCAATGTATTCAAACACTAGCTCTTTATTATGTGTCAAGTTTGACCTATCTGTTGTTGTCTATTGATTAAATTCAATCTCATCATCATCTTCAAATTCTCCAAGTATATCATAAAGTTTTTCAACCAATGCATTCATAGTTGCTGGGCATTTTTCACATTTCCTCATCATACAGTCTTTACTAGTTATATCACAGACAATATAAGGTAACAATTTTTTGTATGTCACACCAAGAGGATGTAAAAGCAGTTTCAAATTCTGATGAATAGCACAGACGAATACAGAATGTGTTCCTGAGGCACCAACAGTAATACACCATTTAGGTTGCAAGGTGCAAAACCTTGAAAATCTTATTTTTATTTCTGGGTTCTTGGTTTTAAAGGCAACAAACAATTCCTATAAATTACATAAGAGCAAACGTTTTTGCATGTGGATATTTTTCTTTATGCTTACATAGTCCTTTTTACCAGGCATTATACGGCTATGTTCATTGTTTTTCGTAAAAGGTCTTGACCAGTTGAACTGTTACATCAGAAAGAGCTTTTCCTAATTTAGGATTAGGCATGGTTAAAATACCTTTTTCTAATGTTAACTTACGAGCAGTTCGAGCTACATAGTTTGTTACATGCAATGTTTCAGATACCTTTTTTATTGACCAGTCTGTTGGAGCAAGTGTTGCAAGTTGTACTTTTTTGAATGTTGATGTAGGCTCTGCAATTTTGTTAGTTAACAATACCATCATGTTATCAAACTGGTTTGCTTTTTCCATATATTCATTATTAAAAATTGACTATTCTTCAAAACTTTCTTCTGATATATTAAGGGAAATGGCTACCTTTTTTTTAATGGAGAATGTTAATGCTGTCAATTTTCGTTTACCTTCTCTGATTTTACCTGACTTGTGCAATCCTTTGACCTTAATTGGAGATACTTCGGCAGATGCAAAGTGTGTATCTACACTTTCTTTTTTATTTTGAATGGATCTTTCATTAACAATATCAAAATCTTTATCATTTTTATTTTCACTTATACTTTTTGATAAACATGTCATAACTTTACTTCGACAGGTTGGACACAGTTTTTTTCCAGGTATAAGATTAAAACCTATGGTTTCTGCTTCTAACACAGTATGCATTGTAATCACACGTAGAGATGCTTGAAAAGAAAGTAATTACATTACTTAAATAGCATTAATTATATATATTATGTAATTATATTACTATACAATTTGTTATATTAATAACTATGAAACATTGAACAAATCTTATTACCAAAAAAACTTATATGACTTATTAATAATGATATTACCTAATGAAATATAAATGTATAAATTTTTACCTCTACACATCTTTTGGTGACTCAGAAATGGATTACAGCAACTTTTCTGATTACCCTCATATCTTACAACTAACATATCATGATGGTGTGTGCATATATTAGTAATTTGTTCTTGTTTCAGATTAGTTCGTTTTTCAATTAGCTTACGATCATTGCTGTCAATATCTTCAATCAGATTTCTTTCTTGAGTATATGATTGTTTATAACAAGCTCCATAATTATTTACAAAGCAGCAATTAATTTTGTTATCCATATAAAAATATAACGAGGAATCTCTGTCTAAACACTTAATACAAGAAATCCTAAATAATCTTAATGTCCCTAACAAGAAAAGTACACTTGAACACAAAAAATATCATATCAATATGTATTTAAAGAACATTTTGTTTGAACAAGTAGCTATTAGTTTAATAGACATATTTTAAATGCCTAACTTTCTACTAATTATTGTAAATTCTCCATTAACTACTTACAAAAAGTTGTGTAAAAGTAAAAGATAACTAAATATAATTTTATTTAGTTATGTAACTTAACATGGTAATGTTAACTAGACATTATTATATCATTTTATTACTTTTTATATTGATGATAATAAATGTTTTATTACAATAAAACAATCAACAACAAAAGTTACATAATATTGTTAAATTTAGTGACATGATATTATGTAATGAAAATGACATTATTATTATGTGATAAAAGTAAAAAGAAACAAATTTATAAAATGTTTAACTATGTTTTGTAATAACTTTGTAAATTTTTTACAAAGCTATTACAAAACAAAAATAATTGTATTTGTATTCAAAATATATTTGCAAATTTTTTTTTTTTTTGCAAAATATCTTTAAAAAAATTGAAAAACTAAAACATCAATAACTCCTTGTTGAAACATAAGGCCAAATAAAAATTGGTTCGCAAAGTAGATATATGTTTAATATTTAAAATAATGAAAACCAAAACTTTTTTTCATCAGTCAGATTTTTTCTAGAACTATAGTTGTCAATGGCCTTTTTTATTTTCATTAACAAGTGCGTTTTGTGGATCTAAAAATAAACTATATTTTATTGTTTTGAGAGATATAAGTTTATGATTTTCAGATTCAGCAGGTTTTAAACTACTTTGGTACCAAGTTTTAGCTTCGCAACATTACTACAAGTTTGTTAAATGGGTAATGGTAAATTGACATATTAATATAAAAAATAACTAACTTCAAGTTGCTGTAAATCTTAAAGGGTTGAGAATTTTTTGAAAAATTTTTACAGTCTTTCCTAACTTATATCTTTAAACATTTGTGCCAAATTTCAGCGAATTTGGTGATGCAGGGTGCAACCTCTTGTTTTTTGAGAAATTTTTACCCTTTATTAATATATTATAATAAAGTGATAAAAATTAAAATTTTTGTCTATAAAACTATTATCCATATAGGGTATCCTAACTGTTAAATATTGATTAGACCCAGATTACCTCTTAAACTAAAATTACCACTCGCTAAGAACAACATCATATATATATATATATATATATATATATATATATATATATATATATATATATATATATATATATATATATATATATATATATATATATATATATATATATATATATATATATATATATTCGACTTTTACATCTGTAACTTAAAAGTACCCTGTTGGAAACCTTTGAGTTATTGTTATAAGAGAATACATATTCCATTATTAAAAGAAACCAAAAGTGTTGCTGATATAAATAGGTATAAATTTTTATTTTTAAATTAGGTTTTTAGTTAAAAAATTTAATTTAGCTCAAAAAACTGTAACTTACAATTTACAGTTACAGTTAAGGAATTTTCAGTAATAATAAAATTTTTGTTTTTAAGAAATTATTTTATTTTTTGGCATAAATAGCATATAAATAATATTGAATATTACTATTGTTATTTTTCATAAACCTTTGTACAAAACAAGCTTATTGGACTGTTGCCATAATCCAATCTTTCCTTTATATAATTCATTTCTAATATATAGCTGACCATATGAGTGCAGACGCAATGTTAAATATTTTTCTATAATTTTTTTTTAAGCTGGGAAAAATGCATGTCTTCAGTTAAAATCTTATTTTCTAAATCATGCATATTTAGTTCAATAAACAGCGCATCATTTGCAAGTTTTTGATTTCTGAAGTGTACCAGATAGGTTTGAAATTGCTAATACATCCTCCTCTACTAAATCAACATCAACAGGTGTTCCTCAGGGCTCGATTCTTGGTCCTCTTCTCTTCCTTGTATATATAAATGACCTCAACACATGTATCAGATATTCCAGAACATATCATTTTGCTAATGATACCAACCTAATAATAGTTGAAAAATAATTGAAAAAATTAAATAAATATCTAAACTATGACCTATCATGTTTAGTTCAGTGGCTACGTGCAAACAAAAGGTAAAAAAATTGAAAAAAAGTTGAATTTCAGAATAACTTGACAAAAACTGTATATTGTTCATAGAATCAAGTACCTTGGTATAATACTAGATGAAAACCTAATGTTTAATCATCAATTAAAGTTGATCTCCACTAAACTGAGTCGTGCAAATGGGATGCTAGCAAAGGTGAGACACTATGTAGACTATGAAACCTTAATAAATATCTGGTATGCTATCTTTGGGTCACATCTTAACTATGGATGCCAGATATGGGGACAGAATTATTCTGTAAACAAAAATAACCTTATAAATCTACAAAATAAGTTTATAAGATTAATCCACTTTCAACAAAATAGCTTTGACTTAGATATACTATACAGAATATCAAAAATATTGAAACTAGATCAAATGATCTACTTGTTGAACAGTGCATTTGCATGGGATGTTATACATAAAAATATACTAATGGGCTTCAACAATTATTTCAAGTTTACTGGTAATATTCACAACCACAATCTTAAATCAGTATCTTGCAACAACTTATCAATCCCATCAAATCAGACATATAAGTATGGCATCGAATCAATAAAAAATCATTCAATTCATTCCTGGAACTCCCTACCCAGTGAAATTAAAAAATCTACCAATCAAGTAAATAGAAATAGGTTTATTAAATAAGCAAAAGAGTTTATCATGAAAATGCAGGATGACATTACAAAATAAGTATATGAGTATGCGTATTTGTGTGCATGTATGTTTGAATTTCTGTGTATGTGTATGTATACATTTGTATGTATGTATACATGTGTATAATGCACATGCAATGTATGTGTATGTGTATACATACGTTTTATATAACAATAACAAAAGATTCTGAAGAAAAAATATATACTGAAATAAAATTAATAAAAAAAATCATTAAAAATGAAATTGTTAAAAAAATCAAAAAATACTTAAATTTTTTAAAAAATTTAATATATTAAATACATTAAATAATACATTAAATTTATTCTATAAAGTAAAAATACATTTAAACAAAAATTAAAATTTAAAAATTTAAAATATATATATATTTGTGTATATAAGTTTTACAATATATATATATATATATATATATATATATATATATATATATATATATATATATATATATATATATATATATATATACATATATATATATATATATATATATATATATATATATATATATATATATATATATATATATATATATATATATATATATATATATATATTGTAAAATGATATATGTGTATGTATATATGTATGTGTGTATATGTATGTATGTGTTTATATATATATATGTATGTATATGTATGTATGTGTATATGTGTATATGCATATGAGTGTGTGCATATATATATATATATGTATGTGTGTTTGTGTATGTATCTGTACTTGCATGTATGTCTATGTATGTTTGTATGTGTATGTATACACACACATATGTGTATATGTGTGTAAGTGTATGTGTGTGTATGTATATGTATATATGTATATGTGTATATGTATATGTGTGTATCTGTATGTGTATATGTATGTGTGTATATAAAAATCTACAGATGAGGTCAAGTTTAAAAGTGAACTTACGGCAGGTAATGAGAATGTAGATTTAACAAATTCATATGCTCTTGGGGAATAAAAGTGTAGTGTAAAAGCAAATTTTTTAACTTCTTTAGATTATCTATAACCTTTTTTTTTCCTCTACTTTTTCATTTAGATTTCAAAAGTTCTTGAGTCAGTCAACAAAAGCTGTTCTCAGCTAATTTGGCAACATCAATAGAAATAATTTTTTTTTTCTCTAAGTTTTGAATAACTTTGCTAAGTGAAGCAATTTGGTTATTTTTTCGTTTAAGCTTTTAATATACTATTTTTTTTTTTTTTTTTTTATTTTAAGTAATAGTTTTTTGAAGATTTTTGTTTAATTATTTTTTTCTTAATAGTATTTATAATTTCAGGCTCTGTTACCTCTTTATTCGAGATAGAACAAATTGTTTTTTTAATTTGTGATGTATCATCATTATATAGCTGGTTCCGCTTGTTATTTTTGTTCAATGATTCATGAAAGTCAAATATTGAAGGCACAATATTTTTTTTCAGCACACGTTTCCCATTCTCTTGACACTCAAAATCTTCTAATTTAAAATGTTTACTGCAGATTCTACCAAATTTACTAGGTGTAATTTGTAAACATTTAGTTGCTGTTGGTCATTTTTCACATAAAATTTGATCATTTAAAAGTGAATCTGTGAAAAGAAATTAAACTGTTTTTATCAAATCTGCTTTTACAGTTGTAAAATGAGCAATTAATAACCATGTTTATTATTTGTTACTCTAAAAAATTAAGAGTATTTTCAAAAATATATCTTTCTTGTTTCATAAATACACACACACACACACACACACACACACACACATTATCCCAGATTTTATTATATATAATATCATTTGAATATATATATATATATATATATATATATATATATATATATATATATATATATATATATACATTATAATATATAGGATATAATCTGGAACGAGTCTAAATAAATTTTATGTCTCCGTATAAAAATGCAAATATTTAAAATATACATACTTTAGGTACGCACATAAAAATTTTAAACTGTTTATATATAAGACTATATATATCATTGGAAAGAACTTTAAATAAGTATTAAAATGGCGAAAATTTCATAAAAAAAGAATAATTCTATAAAAAGTTATGCAAGTTTAAGTATCAAAATTTAACAACAAGGATTTGCTCTTTACTTCAATAAATCTTAGTTTAATAAAAAAAAAATCGCTATAAAATTCTTGACTTTTGGTTAACGTTTACTTTAATATTGTTTACATAACTAAAGTATCTTTAACAGAGATGACATTTGCTTAACCTTTCTTCCAGTATTTTTTGAGGATGTAATTAATTTCAAGGCAGTAATAAAATTTTTAATTGATTAATATTTTTAAGGCCTTTCATTAAGATTTCTTTTTAAAGCAAAAGGAAGACATAGAAACGGGTCACGGATTCTAACTATGTCAAATAAGTTAGCTCTATTGTTTGACATTGCTTAAAGCAACTTTTCTGCAACAAACTCTCAACTAATTCTTTCAAGTTATTTTTAACACCGGTTTGGCAAAATATCAAACTAATATAGCTATGATTTGTACCGAATATCTAGATCCGTATTTACCAAAGTAATAAAAGTATAAACTTTTTCTATTTATATATAAAAACATAACGAAAATATAAAGAAAAACAAAGCAAAAATAGCAATGTATCTATACAACACTATAATTCCAAAAAGAAAAAAATTACAAATTTGTGTGAGAGGAAAAATAATTTTTTTTTGAGATAAAATAAAAAATTTAAATTACAAAAAAAAAAAATTACAAAAAAAAAATTATATTTAACATAAAAAAGTATCGGAAGTACTTTATAAAATCAAATGGAATTGTTTTTTTTTATTATATAGCTTTTAGTAAATGGTATAAAAATTAACAAAACTTTCCTTTGGCTTTTAGAAAATGATCAACATTAAGAGAAGAAATGACCTAAAAATGTAACAACATTATTGAAAACACTACACATTACACATTAATGTATACGTACTCTGTTAATTTAAGTGAAAACTCAAAAATGCCATAACAAATAACAAACTTACTTTGAGAGATTTTTTTGTGTGCGTATTTTTGTAAAAGTTTCAAAATTTATTGATGCAAGTTTATATTATAAACTAATTTTAAAAAAAGCAACGCTAAAAATAATCAAAAAAAGATAAATCTTTACATTTTAATATGAAAATTGAATCCTTGGCTTTTAGTGAATGATTATATATAATCAGTTTCAGTAATGAAACAATCCAATAATCATTTTTAACAATAGACACCGATGTGAAGGTAAGCTAAGTCGTCTATCAACACAAAACATCACAACAATAACATCACACGATTAACAAATAGCACAAAACGTTACAGTAAACACTCAATAACTGAAACCACCAAGGGACCAAGAAACTAGTTAATTAAAAAATGTTTGGGATTATTCGAAGTATAATCCATAAACAATTGGATCAATTGGAATTTTAAAATTAATTCTAGTTATTAAGGGTTTTTGAGTTATCCAGATTTTAATGAAAATTTTTTATTTACTTACAGTATAACATACTTATAAGTACACATTTTGTGATTACAAACAGACTTTATTATGTATTTTATGTGTTTACACCGCTTAGCTAGCAAGGACAACACTCTTGCTGTAAACAAAGCTAAGTCACATTATTTAAAGTACACCGCTCGACTAGCAAGGACAACACCCTTCACGTAAACAAAGCCAAGTCACAACATTCAAAGTATACCGCTTGGCTAGCGAGGACAACACTCTTGTTGTAAACAAAGCCACACCACTTTTAAACCATTTGTTAAACATAAATACTTACAAAATACATACAAAATATAACCTTAACACATATATAAGCACATAATAAAAAAAACACATTACCGTATCAAATAACACATAAAGCATAATATTATTATTATAATTTATCATAATTAAATTATCATAATTATAATAATATAATTATCATAATTTACTTATGATAACATCAGATCACCGTTTGTGATGTCTGCAGATAATTGATATTTGCTCATATCATATTCAACAGCATCATCGTCCTTGTTTTCATTTGGTTTCCAATAGGAAACTGTATATAAAGCATTATTATTTTTTAATGCTAAGAAGCCTGCCATAGTACAAATCTTTGCTTTTAGCTTCAGCATCATACCACCTGTGGCATATACTTCTTCCAACAGCATCTCCATTGAGAATGTCTTCAATATCTGCAGCTTCATTATTTTCCAGATCTGCGAAGAGTTGTTTTACCTGTAGAGGTACGCGTTTTTTAAATTTCCACTTTTCTTCTTTTTTTCGAGCAGATAGACCAGGCTATCAATTTCTTTCGTATATCAGTAGGTTTTATAGAAAGAAAATTAGTTGTCTTATTCTTGGATGCGCGAATTTTCGATGACAAATAACAAAGTGTAGTATTAGGAGCTTTTTGCTTTTCTAGCACTAAACATACCCACAAGTTCTTCACAGTCAATAGAGTCATAGTCCCATTTGATTACATTCTGGGCAAACTGAATACAAACATATTGTTTCTGCCAAAATATTAAAGTCTATTAGCAAATAAGGTATATTGAAATATGCTTTTTTCACATTATTATTTTTCAATTTTAAACCACTTATTGAACATGGAACTTCATTTATAATGATTTCTGTAGTAGAAAATGGATTCTTTATTGTTTCTGGTAGAGCAACTACAAATTGATTTCCATGAAATACTCTTTTTAAAGGTTTTTAACTTGATTTTCTTCGACCCATAACAAAATTTTAACTGAGTGCCAATTTACTAAATTCAAACAAATTAAATGAAGGGTTAGCGGTAAATAAAATGCACTGAGGGTAGGCCAATGATATATTAAAAATTATTTTATTCTTAATGTTATTCTTAATATATCATTAGTTAGTGTTATTCTTAATATATCATTGGGGTAGGCTAAAAATTTTTAAAAAAACGCAGACCGAAAAAGTTTGTAAAACCTTAGCGCATGCGTGTTTATTTGCAAAAAAAATTTATTCAAATAACGTGGTTTTATATGTAACGTTTTTGTATTAAAAGCAAGTTCGAATTTCGTTTTGATTTTAAAATGAATGAAAATGATTTTTGCCAAGATTTGGAACACGTATTGAGTAAGATTTTTTATTATATATATATACATAAAACTAAAGACAATTTAAAACATCATCCTAAAAGTTTTTAATCATTTTAGCAGTTTCAAATCCAACTTCCGTTAAAGAAACAAAGCATATATAAGCAAAGAAACAAAGCATATATAAGTCTGGAGAGGTTTGTGCTAAAATGAAAGAGCATGGATTATTGCACACTGTTCGCTACATTGTAGGTTATACAAGAAGCATGGAAAAAAGCTTTGAAGATCTTTGTTATATTTTTCAAATTATTTATAATAACTATGTTATACATGATATTTTATGTGTTAATGATTAATGAAAGGAAAAGTAAACCATAAACCAGATATTTACACAAATAGTTTAACTATCTGGTTTGTGAAATGAGCAATATTTTGCTCATTATGTGAGCAGTGTAATTGTTACGGATATGCCTTTTTGTAAATGTTGAAATCTTGACCTTTGTTGTTTTTGTTATCCGTTATTAATTAAATATATGTATTTGGGAAAATTCTAGTTATGAAATTTATTTAAATGTAGAAAAATTAATGTATGTAACTTGTTAAAGTTTACAGTATCTATGTATATAAAAATCTGATTTTTCAGAAGTTTTGCAGAAAAATCACATAGTATTTTTTTAAAGAAAAAGATGTTTCCTGAACAGGATTACCATTCATTATTTCATCAAATAGTACTTTTGACTGTCAACATGGCAAAGACAAAAATAGCAAAATTAAAGCTCTGTTTATAACTAATAAAAACATAAGCTGTAAGTAGCACAACTCCTTTTTCAGGTCTTGATTGGTGATTCAAACCTTTTTTTTATTAGTTCTATCACTAAACTATTTTTCTATATCAGTTGTATAATATGATAATTTTCTTATGTTTCACTTTTTTTATGCAGAGTTCAGATCTTGGCACATTCTTGATCATTTGGTGCCAAAGTTTATGTCAAAAAAATTATTGAGTTTCCCGAATTTAAGGCAGAGTTCAGTTTTGGTTTTAAAAAGTACTGTTTAAATGTGAAGAAAATATATTTAGGTAATTCCTGAGCCTTATGTTCATAACAGAAATATCATTGGTGATGTAAGTATATTACTATTACAATGACTAAAGTGTTTGTATCTTGTCATTTGTAATGTTGATTTAAAATGTTTTCCACTATTTGTCTAATTATTAGGTAGCAGGTCTTAATCAACCTTTATGCAAAGAACTCATTGAGAAAGTTAGTGAGTTGGTCTAAGAAAATTAGTGAGTTGATCTGATTTACTTTCATTATTTTTAAGACACAATCTCGTGAATAATTTAAATATTTATTTGACTTAAGGTGTAAAGCGTTTATTTGTGATTTTTATTGCACATGCAATAAAAATGAAATAAAACAATAAAAGATAGCAAAAAAACTATATCACACTTTTATAAGTAACAAACTGTCTAGTCATCCTGCCAGGCTACTGACAGGCATTTTTTTAAAACTTCAATTGCCCTTGGAGAAATTAATTTGTCCCGTGCCACCAGATGACCATGAGGGTACACCCCTGTTTTATTGTGTTGGATTTCTTAGAGCCTAAGTCTTGATTTCAGTCTTGTAATAACCTTCAGAGTCTTTGGATTAAATTTTTGATGTCTTAGTCTTAAATTAAAAATCTTGGATTTAATTTTTGATGTCTTGGTGAAGCAATCTTAGTCTTAGTCTTTAGCCCAAATTTTTTTGATCTATATCTCTGCCAAATACACCTGTTGATTTAAAAAAGTCAATGATGTTTGTTACAGATAACGTAATGTGGTGGATTACTATTTCAAATATTTTATATTCTTTGATAGTTTATTAACACTAACAAAATAAAAACAAAGAATTTTTTTTAGTATTATAATAAACATTAAAAAAATTTGATCTTTTTGCTTTAGTTTGATATATTATTCTTTATTTGATACCTTGAACTTAAATTTACTAGTTTTAAAGTTTTTGTTTCTTAGTATTATGTTTTTTATAATTGTATATATATATATATATATATATATATATATATATATATATATATATATATATATATATATATAAAATATATTTTTTCCTAAATTATTTGCTTTAAACTTTTTTTTTTGTTTATTTAAATTTCCCTTAGAAAATATACATAAGTTAAAACTAATATATATAGTCTAAAATCGTCTTATCACGTTGAATATACATTCTTAGAAATGATTTTGATAGTTAAACCTCAAAACCTGGTGTTTAACTTTTAATATTATACTGAGAGACAAAACAAATTAAAAACTACAAAGCATGAGAATTTTAAATTTGAAGACAACAAAAAATCAATAACAATCAAAATCTACTTTAATGTAAGTTGTAATTTTTTTAATTAATGCATATCCACTTCTGTGAAGGTTGTAGGCAGACATAATGTCTGTTAACATATTTAGAAAATGAGTATTACTAGTACTAATTTACTAATCTTCATAAATTCTAGTCTTGATTTTATAATTTTTTAAACATCTTTACTTTCAACAAGGCTCCAAACAACCACTATTAGAGTTAGAAGTTACTGGAAGTGAAAAGATCAAGTTTATAGAGCAAAATAATGATTATCTTCAACTCTCGAACAGCACAAGAGATGAGCAGAGTATTGTTTTCACGATAATAATGATTAACTAAGACAACTTAAGACAACTTAAAAGATTGTAAATTATATGAATCAAAAAAATAAGATGAAGGAAGCAATTTCCAAAGAGCTGATGGTCGAGAAAAAAAACCAGATCAAGAATTTTTGGAGCACTTAAGAACAGTCACAGTAAAAGGATGAGACTTTAATGAATGACGAGAATGAATTTTAGTAGATGGCAAGCTAGCTCTTTATAGCAGTGTGCATTATAGTGTTTATAGAAAAGAGAAGCAACATTAAGATGACGTGATAATAGTTAGAGGTTGCCTGCAAAAGCACGTTCAATTATGTTTAAACAATTACATGTTACAGGTTTGGTACTTTTTTCAACTTTCTTAAAGCAATACTCTGTTCTTCTCTTGTGCTGTTTGAGATTTTCTGCTTCCCTTCATCTTTATAAACTAATCATTTAATATTTGACCATAATTTCTCAATTGGCCTTGATTCTGTAACATTGACAAGATTATCTTATTATAGTACAAAAATTAAATTCACTTTTTTTAAGTAATTTTAAACAGATTTAGCAAAGAAAAATGAAACAAGATCTGGTCAAAACACACATGGATTTTGCCATTGATGCTCTTTTATAAAATGCATTTTTTTTTTAATACAATCTTCTCAGTAAGTTTTTTTTATTGATTGCTAAACCGTTTTTTCAGATTAAGATTTTGAACTATTAGTTTGACTTGGTATTTCTTTTATGCATTTCTTTTGGTAAGTTCTCTTTCTTTTTCATTTCTTTTGGTAAGTTCTCTTTCTTTTTCATTTCTTTTCTTTTTTTTATCGACTTTCTATTTTTGATTTTATGAGCAGATATTATGAATTTAATAGCTGCGATACTCCATCATATTGATCAAACATTTATTTTAAAGCATTAACTTTTTTCTGAGGCATTTTAATAGCTTTTTTGTTTAATTGATGGCTTCTAAAGTAGCTTGGTTTACAATTAAAAATTGAATAAACAATGTCTTATTAAATAGAATGTTATATAGTGATTGAAAATTTTTTCCAAATGGAAGTCAATGTTTTTCATTATTATGTAATATTAATTAACAATTTTATTGCTGGTGAATGATTATTTTCATAACATTTGTAAACAATTATTTATTAATATTTCATGTATTAAATAATATGTTATATTGAAAATATTAAATTATTAGTAATATCGTATAAATGAACATAACACAAAACATGGAAATTGATTCAAGATTCGAATTACTACTCTTCTCTTACCATTCCTGAATTTGTTACCATTGTCCAGTTTTACCAATTCTTTAACAGTCAACAGTTATTAATTTAGCCTCATGTTACCATAAATATATTTTGCTATAATTATTGCTTTGGTAGTAGCCAATAATTTGCAAGAGTGTAAATCAGATGATAACAGGTAGCATTAGTTTATTGAAAATATGGTTTTACTTGAACAAGAGAGTATCCAT